AGGGTTTAGGGTTTATAGGGGGGTTTTAGCCGGTTTCCATCTGGGCTTGATAAAGCGTTTACATGGTTTGAAGAGTTTTTTTAAGGGTTTATGCAACAGAATGGTAGGGTGCTTTAATGTGTATATAAGGGTTGCGTAGGGTGTTCAAAGGTTCTTAGGGGGCTTGGGCGGTTCTTGTTAGTGTGCACTATACAACATTCCTATTCTGGTAACCGCAGTGCAACTGCTTAACAAGAACTGAGCAGCTGATCTTCTGCTTCCAGACTCCCTGGCCCACCTCTCTCTACACAATGGAGATACGAAAAAAAAACACAGGCTGCCTTTGGTCTCCAGCTTAGGCTCTATGGTGAACCCTATCCATGGCTTCCGCTTCAGACGGCCGCCGTAAACCGAATCTCACCTCCCGCCTGCAGCTTAAAGAACGCCTCCTCGGAGAGCGGATCGAAGTCGCAAGTTAGATGGCGCTTTCCCGTGCTCTCCTCAGCTTTCCGGACAGAGAAGGTGGGCAGGGCTTCAGGTTCCGGCTCCATGGTGCTGGAGCCTCTACCGACCCTCATGAAGCCCTGGGGCGTGTCTCTCTTTAAGGAGCCTTCCTTTCCCGAACAACCCCGAGCCTCCTCGGTGATGGCCACGCCCAANNTTATAACCCCAATTACGGGACTGATAAGCTTACTTACTAAGTCCCATGATCCTCCAAGTACAAACCCTCTTCTGGAGCCCTGGCAGGTCTCTCTATTTAATCGAAAGACCGCGCGCCTCCTCGGTGATGGCCACGCCCAAGCCCAGAATCCCCTCCTCGAAAGAGGCCTTCGTATGGAAGCAGCGCAGCTCCGTGCGAAGGAAGGATGAGGCGGCCTTTGGGGGCAAAACTTTTGGGGGCTTTATTTAAGCAATCTGTTACGGCTTCTGTACGGATTTTGTGAGAGTACTTCTTTGAGGTTGGCAATGGCAAAAAAAAGCGATAGTAGTAAAGGTCTTGAATCTATGAATGTTGCCTGTCAAATTGTTGCTGTCATTATTACTCCGGCAACACAACAATGACCATGATCGTTCTCGTCATTATGATTGTCGTGGTTCATGACAGCAGTACTACGAAAAGCAATAAACAGACATACTTGTGATCCCGCCTCCTCCGCCGGTCCCCTCCACGCTCGCCCAGAACGAGAAAGGGACCTCAAAGCCTCCAGGGGCAAGAACCTGAGCTCTTGCCAAGTCAAGGACCTTAACTTAAGCCTTAAGCTATTCTTACCATGTTAAGGCAAAAAACGACTCTTACTATCTATGTCTCTATGTATGTGTATAATATCTATATATATATATACACATGTATGTGTACATGTATATGTGTGTGTGTATATATATATATATACACGTACACAAGACAAATCTGTCCATCCCCATTCTGGTGACTTCAGCTGCTCAAGAAGAGCCCAGGAACTGGAGGAAGGCCTCGGCCGCGGGGCCCGGGAAGTCCACGCCCAAGGCAGGCTGCAGCAAGTGCAGCCGGCACTCGCGGAAAGCGGAAGAGGAGGCTTTGAAGGGGCCCCCCCGGGCCGTGAGCCGGAGGCCTTTGGGAGAATTGAGCTCCAGGATTCGTACCAACAGGGGCGTCTTGGCCTCGAAGCTTCCGAGCTCTCCGTCCAGCTCCGAGACGTGGACGAGGCCAGGAGCCCTGGCGCCGATATCCACGAAGAGGCCGTAGCCTGGGCACTTACACAAAAAAACGGCTGAAAGCTACACCCCAGGAAGGCCACGGTCTCTTGCTCATTCTATAACTCGCCTATAACAAGACTTCAAAATCTGAGTTCCTTAACGAGAGCCTGGAAGCTTTTCACGGAGAGAATGAGCCCGGGCACTTCCCTTCGAAGCTCCTGGAGCTCTTGCAGCTGCTGCTGGGAGCGACGAGGGACCAGCTGCAGGTAAAGCCACTGCGGCTGGACCCAGGTCACGACGGCGGAGACTTCCTGCCGGGGTTTTTTTAGGGGTTTGGGATTTTTCTGGCTTCAGAATTTTTGTCAGGCTTCGGTCGGTTTTGCAGGTGAAGCTGGCACCGCACCTGCGGTAGATATCGCTAGCCGTCCTAACCTTCGAAATACCTCTAAGTACTAGGATCCTTAGCATAAGGACTCGAGGAACCAGAAACCCCAGGCTATAGGCAGGCGGTCCTGCTGCAGTGCTAGGGCGCAGCGGCGATCGCGGGCCAGCCAACCCTGACGTTGTTGGAAGGGCAGCCTCGGCTCTTGCTGGGTTTAGGGTTTAGGGTTTAAGGTTTTGGGTTTAGGGTTTAGGGTTTAGGGTTATTTACTTACCTTACCATGGTCAGGAAGGCTTCGTAATTAAATGTCTTAGCCTGAAATCCCATAGAAAAGGAGAGCACACGAGTTTTTTCTACCTATTCTTCCGTTCCTGTTAGGATCCCAGCAACTCCAGGACGAAGCCTTGGGGGCCCTCTTGCACCACGCGGCCCTGCACCAGGTCCCCGCAGCAAGGACGCGGCAGTTCCCGAGCTCCCTGGTCGCCCTCTTTTTGCTGGGGGATCTGGGGAGACGTTGTGGGAGGGGGAGAGGGCACGCAGGGAAGGCTGGGAGCAGGGTTGGGAGGGATCTGGGGCTGGGGGATCATCTCGGGCAGCGGAGCCGAGAAGCAATGTCCGCAGGGGCACCGGAACCTCTCGCACTCGGCCCGAAGCTTCGCTGCCAGCTTCGGGGTCATTTGGGACTTCTTGGGGCCACCGTGGTCCTGCGGCACGTGGTCCGTCTCGAAGAGGAAGGATGCCTGGACTCGTCTTGCTTACAACACACACAACATCTAAACTCCTAGGTGTTGGTATGTTCTTGAGGCGAGCCTTATGTCCATACTCGTCCCCGGGTAAAGGCGAAAGCTTGATAAGACGACAGGCAGAGATGCCAGCTGCAGCAGCACAGTCTGGACCGTGTAAGCTGTGCTCCAACCGCTGTGCGCATCGTGGCAGCCGATGAAAGACTGCAAGATGTCGAGGCAGATCATGCTCCCAAAGAGGTTCGGATGTCGAAAGGACGGAAAATGCTCCGTGGGGAATCGGATACTCGGAGGGCTGAAGGGATAGTCCCTTGGCAAGTGCATCACCAGGTGGAAGATGCACCCCTCAAGCGGGCCGTCCGCTGGTCGAAGGTTCCTGGGCTACCGCCACAAAGAGGGCATACTGCACCCATGTCTATTCACGATCTATCTGCACCATGGCAACTTAAGCTGCTAACACGGACCCAGGCTCACATGCCAGCAGAAGGGATCGTTCAGATCCACCGGTCTGGCAGAGACCAGCTGCAGAGGCTCGGCCTCCAACTCTCGCAGGTCCTTGGCCCCTCTTAGCGTCCCTGCTTGGGATGTTTGGACATCCCAAACTTATCAACCCTAACCCCTGCCCCCCCCAAAAAAAAAATCCCGAAGATTGACCCAGGATCCTTGGCAATGCGCCGCAAAGCGGCTGCCTGGCGGGATGCTCTCACGGTGCTCGACGAGCTCATGGTGGATGTCAGGGGGGACGAAGGCTGGAGGCAGGCTGAAACCAGTGAGCCCGTGTTGTGGGCAACGAGAACACACAAGCTTGGAGACATCTTGAGAGCACCTGTACAACATCTTGAGGGCAGATCTACAAGCCAGTCGACCTGCCACAATGTCCTCTGACGGCAACTTAGCTGGGAAAGGTCTCTGCAGGAAATGGGACACAGCTTAGCTCCTGGCACCACGAATGCTGCCTCGTTCCTGCTCGGCCGCTTGCCTCATTGCGTGACTCTCAAGCATGGACGAAAATGTCTGGATGCTATCATCACTGTAAAACTGTTTGCAAACACATCGCACGACCACAAAGAGAGCTGAAATGGCAAAGGCTACTTGGCGATGAGGCATGCTCTTTAGTTCGCGATATACGGCAGCGAGGTAGTCTGTGTCTGAGCTCTTCTTCCTTTCGACGTAACTACCACTGTAACCAGCTAAGCAGCTCGACAGCGACATGCAAGCTCGGCGCGCCGGCCCATCCAATTCGGCAGGGCATAGCTGGCGCTGGAATTCCAGCTCAGAAGCCCTGATGCAAACCCCAAAATGGCCGCCGAGATTCAGGGTCAAAAAGAACTGAAAACCATGCTGGCTTTCTGCCTGAAACATGGAAATCGTAACATGCTCCGAAACCCGAGAAGACCTAGAAGCGCTGTCGTCTTGGACCCGATCCAGATCGAACCCAAAAGGAAACAAAACCTGTCATGGACGAAAACAATCAAAAGTGGCGGCCACCCACAGTGCGTTTGCGCAAGAAGCCAGCAATGCTCCCTTGTTCAAATTTTGTTCTGACTATCTGGATCTGAGGCAGGCAATGCCAAATGTGGGCAGTGGGCATCGACTGAACTTTTCATGAAAGAATAAAACGTGAAACTGCAAACTGCGTGGAAAGCAGTGGCCAAGCTGCTATTCGAAAGCTCCCACTGTCGTGTCTGCATGCCATGGCAAAACATACATGTATGGGGTGCCAAAGTGTTCACTCCGCCTGATTGGCAAAGCATTCGGCTGCAGCCAATCACGTAAAACTGTGATAAACAGCTTGGTTCCAATTTTTAGGTTTGCTTTTGATTGATTTTTCGCTTTTTTCTTGAGTGTCTGCAAACTAGTGGAACGCTTCCGTGTGCATTTCCAGAATCCATGCGATAGAATTTGGGCAATACCAGTCGCTTCCTTGTTGGGTGAACTCATTTGTTTCCAAACGTTATCACAAATTTATGCAAAGCACGTGTGATGTTGTTTATGTGATGTCTTGGCAAGACTTAACAGACGCAATGCAGAAACCATCAACCCACAGTGCAGTGTCACAGATCTGTGATTTTGCTTTGTTGCAGCAAAGTGAACACAATCCTGCGGCTGTGCTTCAGAGTTTTATGCTGGAGCCATCACTCCTGCAAGTTGTCACTGCAGGTGTTGTGTCGATGGTGGTTTGTCCTTGCAAATTGAAGTTTTGCTATTCACAAACTCTCGAGACTTGCTGATGCTTCTTCATGTAAAAACACTACAACAAACGTGTGTTCTGTGGTTTCAAATATGGGTACCAAAAACGGTTTCAAATTCGGGCCCCTCTAAGAGTATTTCCTTTTTTACGGGTCTGGATTTGGTTCCAATTTTTGGGTTCGTTTTTGATTGATCGTTTTTTTCTTGAGTGCCTGCAAACTTGTGGAACGTTTTGTGTGCATTTCCAGAATCCATGCGATAAAATTGAGCAATACCAGTCACTTCCTTGTCGGGTGAACTCATTTGTTTCTCAAAGATTTATGCAAAGCGCGTGTGATGTTGCTTAAGTGATGTCTTGGCAAGACTCAACAGACGCGATGCAGAAACCATCAACCCACTGTAGTGCAGTGGCAGCAGTCGCAGTTGTAGGAATTGTTGCAGCAGGGCACAAGGCACGTGCCAGTTTGTGCTAGTTTTGTGGGGTCGGGTTACAATGGACAGCTTGTCCTTTGCCAAATTCTGGAACCAGCCTCTTGCTTATCCTGCCGAAAAAAATGGCGTGGTAAATTGGACCACATTTGATCATTATGAAATTCTCTGCACACCGTCGCTTTTAGAGGCTTGCGCACCGAAAGTTGCAGCATGGTGTCCAACAGCCGCGAGTTCTCGCGCGACATGTTTGCCACCCAAAGAGCAGCTCAACAAGTTCCTTGTGGTTCGCTGCTGTGCGACGGGCCAGAATTCTCAACAAAAACAAGCTTGGTGCGAAGCACTCTTTTTGCGGGCTATTTCGTCAATTTGAACATTCCCGCGAAAATCGCACGGTCATCAGACGTATTCTTACCATTTCTATTGTTTCAATCTCTCACTGGGTCAAACTGAATCATTTTGAAAGATTTCGAAGAACAAACAAGTCCCGAAGCTTGCCGAAAAAACCACGATGTTGAGCAACAAAATTGGGATCAACAATTTTTCCCTGAAATGCTTTCATGTGTTCTCAGAAGGCCTTAGAATGCCTTTATATTGATGCATTAGAGTTTTTTTTCTTGTTGAGAGCCTAGGGCGGGAAACAGGCCTCGGTAGGAAATGTTTTCGCACCGGAAACAGCCTCAAGCTGGAAAAGGCGTGGTGTAGGAAACGCGTCTTTCGTACAAAACGAAGCCATGGGCAGGAAGCAACTCTGGAACGGAAACGGCTCAGAGCAGGAAAAGACCGAAGAAAGGACAAACCCCAGGACAAGAAACGGCCAAGAAGCACTCCTTCTTCAAATGCAGAATCATACGCAGACACCCGTTACAAAGCACGATGCTAGATTCGGAATAGAAAGTTGACTAAGCTCTGCAGACTGCACTCCGTGGAAGAGAATATTCTGCACTCAGAAGAAGCGCCAAGCTCAGAAGATGTGAAAGCGAGTTCAAGGTTTCTTTACCCAAACTCTCGCGGGTGGAGTTGCAAAATGATTTTTTGTTTGCAACTTCCTATTGTAGTGGGCACACCAGCAAGATTCGTTTGCCAAAACTTGTCCAAACAACGCCTTGCTGACCAGGCGCGAAGCACTATGCACCGGAAAGAGAAGCGACAGGGTAAAGAGATCCGGATGCCCTTCTACTCATCTTTTCATGGCTTACGGACTATTGAGTTCAGACTCCACATCATTGGATTCGCATGGTTCACTGTGAACGAGATGACATCATCGATCCGGACAATTGTCTTTCACCATTGTCATCTTCAGACACTGATGCGTTTGGTGACATTCTGCTTTCGAACAGATACACCAACATTCTCGAATCTAATTGTGGTCTGGAGATTGATGATCATTGGTGCAACTACACGGATGGAACAGGTATTAACAGGACTCCCGAAGAAGATCCTGATCGGAAATTGGGCTTTCATTGGACAGGATTCACAGTCTTTCAGGTTGCGAGTCCTGTGGACATTGACAAGACAACACCTGAAACAGTCGATGTCACTACGAGAGCCCCGAAAGGATTGAGGATTCCATCTGAACCGACACCATCCGAAAGACGACAACATGAATTGACTCATCTTCTGTACAGAGATTGGTGTATAAGAGCTAAAGGTCGACATGGTGCCTCCAAGAAGCAATTGGATCGTCAACCTGTCATTCAGGCCGATAATTGCTTCCATGCTACTCATCCACAGCTTCCTTTGCGCAAGATATTGTCTGCAGCAGACATTGTCACTGGCATGGGCATGACAGTTGTGATTCCCGAGTGCGGCAGAACTTTTGGCACATTGCAGTATGATCAAAAGACATCATTGAAGTCTCTGTGCACTCGCGTCTGCACAGAACTTGGAGGACTGACATTCGTGCGGCACCTAAAGGTCATCTACAGTCACCAGGCTCAGAAAGACAATTGCAGAAGACATTCTACGGCCAGCTTCGAGCATTGCTTTGTCAGGTTGAGCACAACACAAGAATTCAGATTGATTCAGATTCACCTGTTAATGCATGGGCAGTCAAGCACGTCCAGGTTTTTGAAGAGGTATCTGACTCATTCAGATGGTCACCCTTCCGAGTTCGAACAGACAGTGCTGCGGTCCATAGACAAATCACCATCAAGTTTCATGCCACAAATCAAGGGGCTGCTCTTTTTTTCGACCCCGAAATGTCTTTTTCTAGACCGCGCGATTGGTCCATCTTGTTTTCGGCCGCGGCATGTCTTTTTTTCGACCTCCAGCTTTTTTTCAGCCCCGCAA